AAGAACCTGACGGCACTCTAGAAGTTGAACCATTTCCGCTTTAGCAAGTTCGCTCCTAAATTAAAGTTGGTAAGAAATTTTGAGCATATCGCATACACACTGAAAGTAACTACGCGAAGAATAAGGCATGGCGACCTGAATTTAATACACCTACATCCAAACAATAACCATATCAAATTTCACCTACTTTCCTAACGAAGTCTTCAACGAGTTGTCAAGTTCCAAGACTTCCTTCTTCAACTTCTCAAGCATTGAAGCCTTTTCTAATTCCTCTCGTTTACATTGTTCAATAAGCGCTTCGTGTTCAGACTCTTTTGCAGAAATCATACTGCTCAGTTCGGCATAGCTGTTCTGCTTTCCTTTAAGTACATCCTAGAATGTTAACAAAATTTAGTAAAACGATTAAATGGCGCTTTCACGCAAAACAACCGATTGAAATTTAGTCATTTCTTCCAAATCATGAATTCTTAGTTTCATCAGATCATTACGCTGTTCCAGGAACGTCTTAGAGTTTAAAGCCATGTCTAAATATCAAAACTGCAGCAGCATAAATGTAGTTTTAAGATAAAAATACAAACCTTTATCTTTGAGCTTCATTTCATACGTCGTTTTCACCTCGTTAATCGAACAATTAACTTCGTTCACAGAATTCTCAGCGTCAAGGAGTTTCGACTGCAATTCTAGCTTCTAAATTGTATTTCACTTGTTAATCAATCAAATCAATCAATCAATCAAAAGACTGTTGACTGCATAAATGAGCAGAAGTAGCAAATACAACTAACACCGACTAACGTTCCAGCAATCACTGGATTACTGATATAATAACAACATACATATAACGCACAGGAAGAAACAACATAGGTAATAATGAGTCAAGAAATAAAAAATGATGATGACGAAACGGATTGATGGACAGAAAGTGCAAGCAAATAAATATTTAAATGCATGAATGAGAGGAGTGATTCGAGCAGATTCTACCAATTCCGTTCTTCGTTTTGCAGAGTCCAAACCAACTGCGGGATCACGGAGTTTCTGGATGCTTCAGTCCTCACACAAACGCAGGCAAATTGAAACTTGTGGAATGAAAGACCAAAATAAAATTTGAATATGCCTGATGCAGAGAATGGAGAAGATCAGTTAGAAAATGGACCTACCAAGTTCTACAATAGGTCTTAAAATCAGATCTACTTTGTTGACAATTTTCAGAACTGAATCGATCGAAATTTCAGTAAGGTCATTTTACAAAGACAAATACAATGGCGAAGCCAACATAATTAGAGGAATGAAGCAGGTTATAAGAAAGAGCTCTATTTTGATTAATTTTGGAGTTTGTACTGGGCATGTTTCAGAAAATCATAGCACCGTCGCGCTCTGCCGACTTAATGGCGAGACATAAAATCTGAATTACTGTGCTATTAACATCAGATGCTATTTTGCACGCGCACTACAGTGTAATCATTCGCGTATGGTGACACCAAGATAGTTTGTGTGAGAACAATGTCTATTCTTTAGTTCTACAGCAAAACAGGGGGTAAGGCCGTTGGTTAATATGTGGAAAGAATGCTCGTTGAGCCGGAATAGACATTCTTTGATTCCATGATGATTATTGAGTAATCCACCTTCCTGTGACTAGTCATTAACGGAAGTGACTGCGCATGAATACTGAACGAGAAAATCTACAGAAGTCACTGCATACAGTATCAAGGCATCGTCGATACAATTTTTGCACTTATTCAGACAGTTGATTTTCCATGTCTTACTGATTGTGAAAAGAAAAAGAGAAGACTTATCCCGCGCAGAACTCCGGTAGTTCCGTCGAGTGGAAGAATTAAGTCCATGAACCCATAAGTTAAAACGTAGCATGACTGAAAATCAACATTTAAGCCGGCGCTGCGTTGAGCAGCTTAGAAACGATATTTAATAACTGTTTACTAGTGAACCAAACTATTTGTTTTGACCACAAAGATGAAAACCTTCTTCTTCCACTAATACGAATCAATTTCCTGTCAGCCCTGATTTTGGCTTTATTTGTTTCTTGTCCACTATCTTCTAAACGTTTCCCGCCATTAGGTGAATTTCATGCTCAAAAGAAGTAGCAGCTAATACGAGAAGATTTTTTGACGCGAGTACGATTTTAAGAACACACCTATAAACTGCAAAAACACTACTATCCACTGAGCTACTGAACAATCCCGTTTCAACTTCAGTTCATTCATTCTTAATAAAATCTCGCTAAGTTCCAGTTTCGAAGGCAGCAGCCTCATGAAAATTTTTTAACGTTCTCAGTACGTCCCTGCGGGTTTTTCTGTGGCATTCTTGCCATATATAAAAAACAACGCAATAATTAACTCTCAGTCAAGAAAGGAAGCAGCGCAGAGTCAAAGACATCACGAATCACATCGAGCCCCATCAAACTAGAAGACCCTTCAAGAAACCTAATTGCTGACGCTCTCTATACCGGAGTAAGTTTTATTGATTAATGTCCATTACTCATTATACGTACATCATGAGTAAATAACAAATGAGCACTCCGTGCTTCATTATCGCTGACTAATCGTTGTCGCTGGAGAAGACACTGAAAAATTTACCTTTGCATTACACTCATCAGTTTCATTGGACAGGGAATTTTCTTTTTCCTTGGTCGCCAGTTGAGCACCTGCAACCGAATGACATGAAAAGACGGATTACAAAAAACTTTCCTTACAAAAATTGGCAACATTCTTTTCATGTGCTTTTCGCAAAACGTCCAAATTATCCATTTTTCTTGTCAAACAGTTCATCAAATCTTCACGTTTCTTCAATGACTTCGAGGCAAACGATATCACTGAGAGTTCTAAACAGAAGACTATACAAAGTAAGCTTCTATAACTTTCGACTTACGGCTTGTCAGTTTTTCAGCAATTTGACGAAATTTATTTTCTAAATTCGTAATCCGACGACTAATTTCATGAAACCTGGAACAAAAATAAAAAATCTTATCAGAAAAACTATCTGATATACGCACTACGTTCTGGATTAATTCTAACCAGCGAGAAACATTTTCAAATAATAAATTCAAATTCCAGTCATTAAAATTTATGATAGGTAATTGATTCCACGGTTCCACTAAATTTCTGAATCAGTGTCTTGACGGACTATTCACAAAAGGATGTTTTACACAGAATTAGACTGAGAGACAAGTACCAGCAAATGTTAACACGGCTGTGGAGGAGTCATGAACATTTCAATATTAGTACATATTTCATGCAGCAGCGAACAGTAAAGGACAAGTTTATAACCGTTGGAATAGCGGAATTTCTCAAAATAACATGAGGCCATTTTGGCATTTATCGTTTCGTGAAATCAATGATAACGAACTGAAACTACCATACCGTCGATCAAGACTGTCTTACTTCAAAGGCAGAGTCCACAACATGTGTGTGGCAAACAAAATGTGTAGTCTCTGGTTTCGTTACCATGGAGGTAAACTCATTTATCAACATCAGAAGAAAAAGGGCGAGCGATCTAATCAGGGCCAGAACCCAGGATCTGTCCTGAGTGTAACGCTCAGAACCGACTGAGCAAATCTGCTCTAGAGTTGCATAAGGTAAATTCCTTGGTTAGGGGAACAAGTGATTAAGACAAAATTTGTTCCCACGCAGAAATCGAAGGAACCCGGCAACAAGGCTCGAAGCCGTCAGCTTTGGCACTGCGACGCAGGCATCAACGGCGATGATCAAGAAACAACCTTATTGAATACAACCATACAAATGGATGAATTAATCATGAGTATTAATACCACTGAATCATATGATATTCTTTAGGAATCCAGGAGCAAGAACGCGATTACAAATGCAATGAAACCTGATTTGGAAGAGTTCCAAAAATTAAAGTCTATTACTTCAATGAAACTGTCAAACAATCCAAAGGTTCAGAAAACCAAGAAAAGAATCGACAACTGAAACCAAAGTATATTTCACCGAATCACGTAGTCGCTTACAGCGAACCTAAAATGATCTACTGTTGAAATCAGTCAAACCGCATAGAAAAATAGACAGTGCAAATGGGAACAAATCTACGTCACTCTGAAATGTTCATATAGTCCGTTGAACATCTCTAGAGCTGTCAAAATGCGCCCTGAACTAGGATTATTGATCTTGGATAGTTTTCCTTTCTGAACTTGATAAATTAAATTCGTGATAAATATTTTAAGTGCTTTGTATGCAATAGACGACTGCTCTTATCGAAGATGCTCTGTAACATTCCATGAGCATAGCGTTAGAAATCGCTAATTCTCTGTCTCAAAAAATAATCAACAAGAAGGCTGTTTATCCTACAGACTTGCACTGATTTTGAAGTCTCATGCCAGCATATCAGGAAAAAAATGGTTCAAAAGTATAAAAAACAGAATAAACTACAAAGTTAGAGATAAATTTCCGCATGGCCTCGTGTGGAAATTCAGAATTATCAGTCGCCCTATGCCACATCAAGCTACCAGCGTGATCAAACCATCAACTATCACGCGTGCCAGTTTAGGCCCGATGATAAAATGAGGCCTAAATAACTGAACGTCTGACTTGGTGATTAGATTGGATTATGATCAGCACACATGGGGTGCGACGAGATGTAGGTGGCGTATATTTGATATTTTGCAAAATATACATAATTCAAACGAACATTAAATGCTGTTCGTTTGTGGAAAAGTATGTGATCGAGATGCAAGCATCGGTTTTTCTGTTCCAATATTCAGGCGATTTTATAAGCCATGTATCAACATTGCTGTTGACACTTTTGAGTCATTTAATAAGAAGTTCAGTGATGCACTGCTACTGAAGATTTTGAAGAACAGATATGAGAAGACAGAGTCTTCAACTCTGCTGCAGAGGACCAGGAAATCTCGCTGTCACGTTTGACAAACTGATGACCACAACAGAAATAGTTAAGCCAGCTACCCAACAACTGAGGGAAAGTAAAGTTAGCGCAATTGCTTGTCGTAGCAGTTAGTCATGGGAATCATCCGAGAGAAAAGCTACTGTTGAAGAATAGCGACATCAGTGTTCATCGGTCCATGTGAGGTTCTAAAAAACAATATAGTTTGTGAAGGAGAAGGTCGTATCATTGTCAGGTTATGACTGCCAATTTGCTACTTTTCAACAACATAACGGCAAAGAATTAGAACACTTTATCTGAAATGAAAGGAACAGGTTAATGTTATCACGGTAGTCCTTCAAAACTGCTTTATCGATATTATTGGACATAGCTTCAGAACAGTCTCGAAATTATGAAACACTATATCTAAAGGAAAAGATTCACAAGCTCTGAATGTCAGCTGTTTGTCAGTACAATCCATAAATACATATCACGTGTTAAATAATGAAGTTCTACAGATAAATAAAATACATTTAAATATTGGATAATAATGTATTGCTACCAAATCAGTGGAATAGAGCAAAAGAAAAATTGATACTTTACTGGTTACCTTTCTTCGAGACCACCACAATGAATTTTCGAAGTTGACAGCACAGCTTTCATACTTATATTTTGAGCAACCATTTCGACGTAGCTAGCTCTCTGACAGGCGAGCTGGTTTTCTAGATCAGTATTCATAGCGTTCTAAAAAATTCTTCAATTAGAAACGTTCTTTAAAAAATTAATACATAGTTAATAACATATTTCTAAACTAAAAATTCTACAAAATAGAATCAATCAGTTTCGATGAGCGTTTTCCTTACGGGATGTGGAGAAAGATGGGCCAGAGCGTCTCCAACGTTGCGAATCATGTGCCAGCGTTTGAGTTTTGGCAAAAGGCAACCCGAGGCAACCCTTGCACAGTCTCTATTCAGACACTATTACTAGGTCACTTCAGACCGTCCCCGGGGTCTTCGGTCGGTAGGTTGGGAAATGAATAGCTCTCTGGCCTTCCTTTATGCAGACTTTCAAAGGCATGCCCAAACCAACGCAGGTGTGAATTCTCAATCTCGAGACAAGTACGCGCACCAGTTCGTCTCAGAAAGCTCATTTCAGCCGCCTGTACGCAGGACACCGGTTTTCAGTCATGGCCAGAGATGATCATTGGGATACTGATCGACCTGAACGCAGAACGCTTAGTCTTCGGACTCAGTTATCCTTTAGTCACAATTGTTCAGCCCAGTTCAAGCAGGGCGCCGCTGGCCATTCCAATTCGCCGAGTAATCTCTTCCGCTAATTTTCCCTCACTACTCAACAGGATCCTGACGTTCGTTATTTCCCAACCAATCCAAATGCTTCTCCGTTTATTTGAAGGGCTGATCGAGAAAGCACTAGGCTTTTCATTTTAGATACGGTCACACGCATGTCAGCCACGTCGCACTTGGGTGTGAACCTTTCCAGAGAGCAGTGAACATCAGCTTCAGAAAATGCCAAACAAAATAAGGTCGTTTGCAAACACCAATCTTCTTTCTCGACATCTACGCTGACACACTCGTCGTCTTGGCTGCTTCTGACTATCTTGTCCAAGTACAACACAAACAGAAGAGGAGACCAACACCAACGTTGAAGTCTCGACCTAACGCCATTAATTCTGACGCGGCACCTGCTATCAAAACATGGTGACTTGGTGGCTCATAGCAACTGGCCATAGATCCGATTCGCTAGCAGGTACACCTACAGCTTGCTGGGAAGAATCTGGCTGTAGGCTCTTTTCAGGTCGACAAATCACCTTTAAACCGGATGAGTGAACTCCCACGGTTTATGACAAATCAGGCGTACAGGAAAACCAGTCAGAAGTACTTCGGCCTGATCTGCGGCCACACTGTTCTTCTTGCATGCCAGAGTAGTTTCCACGTAAGTTTTCATCACTGTCATCTTTTCAAACAGTCGTGCGATGATGTTTAATAACTTCCGCCCTCATATCCCCAAAAGATAGGGTTTCCAATTTGGTCATTTAATTGCTTGTAACGTCAGGGCTTCGCATGTTATTCATTCGCTTACAGCATAGCTAGCCAACAAAGCTATGATCGGTTAATATTTCTGCTCCTCACCAAACGCGAACATCCATTGCAGAGCGTCGTAAATACGACGATACGATTATCAAATCGAATCATCCACTTCTATGCACAAGCTTCATTATATCAGGCCTACTGATGCATGCTTAGATGCTCGAAGAAGGTGTTCATATTAGACAATCCGTTGTTTGCACAAAATCGCAATAACTTTATGCCGTATTGTTGACGTTGGTAGGGCCGTCCATCCCAGTCACGTTTGTCCACTTTTCAGTATCTGCTCTGACATGCGCAAAGAAATCGCCCACAAGAATGAGGGAAGTCGTTGGCAGTTCTTCGTATAGGGCACACTCCACTTCCTCAAGGAATGACATTTTTTTCTCCAAGTTATGAACATAAATCAATAAGGTCAAAGGTCAAAGCTTTAGCCTGTTGCAGACTTAGTGAGACGATTGCCACAGTTCCGCTGATAGGCTTCTATTCAACGATTCTATCAGGTAGGCTTGGTTCTATCAGAGCAGCAACACCGACCTAACTGCGCGTCGTGATGTCCACGCCTGACTAGAATAGCGTCCATCCGCAGAGGTTCAGAATTCCATAGCTCTAGCGCTTCGCTGGCGAGCGTCCAACTATGTCCAGTTGGTACCTTGCTGCCTCATCAACTAGCTTCTGCTCCTTCCCTCTAAGCGGGGATATTTTGATAGAGGATACGAATAGAGGACACGAATTTGATAAGAATAAAGTGAAAATCTGATTGAATAGTGTGAACTTTAGATTGCGCTTGTTGCATAAGAAACTGTACAAACAGAACAGGAAATCTCCCTGAAATTGACTGTCGATTTTACATCCTCCAGCCTCTGGCGGACCTTCGCATATTATTCGATTTGTATTAATGGCCATCTTTGTATAATACAACATAATGGAGAATGGCTTAGCACTGTTCTGTAAATCATGCAAATGTGTAGCAGCAATAGGCAACGAAAAACGATAATTTTACTTCCCTTATGCAATGTTCAGAACTTCAGGCGAATTTTGTAAACAGTCAATGCAGCGACTAACTGCCTGTTTGCATTTTGGTTAACAAGGAAGGAGATGCTGCTCTTGACGCATAAATGAAATTCGCCTAATCAAACAGCATTAAGAATTGACATTAAACCTTTAATTGAACCCTTTACGATATAAACAGCCAAATGAATTCTGTGGCATCCGAAAGAATGTACCTGAATTTACAGAACATTTACTGAAAAGACGAAAGCGAACGGGTTAGGGGTAGGATGTTTTCCGATCTCCACTTGGAGAATTCAGCTGGAAAAATACTTTTTACTTTGTTCATGCAATAATCAGATTTGTCGTCAACGACAAATCTTGCCGTTGCTGACAGAGAAAAGCCTTCAGAATTCTAAACGCGGAATTAAATTTAAATCACTGTTAACCCTGAAGAAGTCTGTGACGCATTCAAGACATCCAAAATAAACAGCGATATAAAAAATTAAACTGGAATTAAAATTTAAGTTTCTATCATGAGAAAGAAGGGATTTTAAAGGAATAAAATCGTTAACACTCTGCTTACCAGCTGTTGTAGCGTTCGCTGAGAATCTTCTGAGCTAATTCCTTTAGGAGCCGCTTTATCGACACCTAAGACAAAAAAGCGATGACAATAAACATCAACTAACAAATGCTCCATGAACATATAGCGTAGTGTCTAATATCACCACATTACAAGGAATCATTTACAACTAGGATTTATCATTTGGACAGATTTTTGAAAGAAGATTAAGGGGCGACACAAACGAACAGATGATGCTGATCTGATGAGAGTAGAAAATGGAGTGACACAAACGTCACTGATACCACCAGCATTATTTATATCTAGATAAATTTTAGGGAAACGCTGAGTGGTATCTTGCTTTCTTCGATACATTCCTTTTAAAGGTGAAAATTAATTTTACAAACTTTTCCACAAAAAAGAGGTTGTGCTGTAGTCAAATCTTTCACGTCAAGAATAATCAGTTCTCTACCTTTATTTGAAATTCAATGAATCATGAAGGACGAAGCTGGAAGCGAGAAGTTTCCGATTTGACTAATGAAAAGCTACGGATAAAAGTATTGGTCGATAGACAATCTCAATTATCTCCGTTACAGGTTTAAACAAAATACCGTTTTAATGTAAACGAAAAAATTGTCTAAGGCTAGCTCAAAAAACAAACCTAAATAATATTTTACTTTTTTTTGTCCTGTTCTTCCTGGTCTCCGCCATTGCACACACGTAAAGTTTACACCTAAATACAAATAACGTTCTTAAGGAACTGGTGCAAAGCTTATAAACACAAATCAGAACACCAGATTAGCTTTAACGTACTGAAAGGATTATATTTAATTGCCGGGAAATACATAAAATTTTATATAAATACGTTTTTATCGTATAAGATTAAGGTTGCTGCTGTATGAATGAGATAATTGATTAACCTCACAAACAAGGGTCACATAAAAGGAAACAAGAATAAACGAGAAATTTTAACA